CAGGAGTCGTCTGAGGCTTTGTGTTGAGGCAATTTTTAAATACTTTTGAGGTCATAACACTCGGTATTGTGTGAGAAATCTGATTATTTTCATAATACGCCTTAGGTGACAAAACAATTTCCTGTTTCACATATTTCACCATTAAATGTTTTGTACAATGAAACACAGCGAAGTTTTTCATGTTGAGAAGAAGGGATCGTGAGCTATTCTTTTCCCTAGGAAACTGGCTCAAATCATACCAATACTCATTGTTTCCCTTCATCATTTTGCCTCTCAATGCTAAGGAGAATGCAAAGAGGGTGAAAATAAATGCACTCTCAGCTTCTTCACTGGGCATTTTCGCTAACTTTTAAGCGGCAGTTCTTGAGAAATTGCGAAGGTTAGGAGTGTGTTTGGACTGTCTTTGTGAGTTTTATTTTTTCTGAGTGCAGCAAATGTCGGAACAATGTTGTGTGTGGCCATCAAAATTGCTAGAAATTTTCTCTCTGTGCACTTTTTTGCATAAACTTTCTTCACTACTTCACTTTTCAAAGAGAAAATCCACCTTCTCCGGATGAAATGCATAATATGCATCCGACATCAAAGAGATATTCCAAAAGTGCATTTTCTATTTTTACCCACATAAAATGGATTCTAGATCGCGCGTCTTTCTGGCAAGCAATGCCAATTAATTTTCATGAAATAGGCAATTTGGGTGTAAACTTGGGCAGTTTGGTGGAGGCTCGAGATTCGTGGAATCGCGTCGAAAGTGCGCGGCTTCTTGGCTAAATGTCTCTAGGAGCGGAAGTGAAAGTAATATTAGCTGTTCTTGCAATTCACTCTCCCCGCGCGAGAGTCTTGTGTGCAAATCCACTTCGCAGCAGCACTTAAATTGCAATGTGGTGAATACACAGGCGATGTTCAACTATCGAAGCAATAAGCCTTGACCCAGTTTCCATCCAACCAACACCGAAGCCAACATTAGCTTGTATAGAGTGCATTTTGTGTCGTGTAGTAAAGTTAATTGGTTGATTGTGAGCGACACTGTCAAGATGCAGTTTTTCTCGTTTTTATTCCCACTCTGGGAGTGCTTTATCAAAAAAAAAGGAGAAGTAATTTAATAAAAATCGTGGACGTGTCGCGAAAGTCTGTCCACATGTAATGGTATTGATTTTCTGGCAGTGTGTCGAGTCGAATCGATTGAAAAGTCATCCCTGAGACGAGCGTATGGAAAATTGCATTATTAATTGTTGCTGGTTATATCGAGGAAGTTGCTGGATGGCCCAATTTCCCTCCTTTGGCTCCTGCTGAATTACTCATGAGACGTGTGAGAAGTCTATTTGGTGTATTTTTAATGAACACACCCCACTGAGTCGAGGAACACAATAAACTTCGACCTAGGAAAGGTATTTTCTGTAATCGATAGTTTTTTCTCTGCCTTTCACAATCCTACACCCCACGGACTATTTAACAGACTCCCCAAGTGTGTACGGACTTTTTTTCTCAAGGGAACACTCGGCCAATCGTATCAACAAGTTTATCCTTCAATTGAATAAGGAAGCAGTGTTAGAAACCTGAATCGATGAGGCCGAATTGGGTTGAGGACAGAACAAGTTTGAGAGGCAACTTTCAAATTCAAGAGTCTGCAGAGAAAGTGCAGAAAAGCCCTTCAATGCGGAAGAGATAAATCAAGTAGTGACACAAGGTCAGAAAACGATGAGATGCATATCAAATTGTGATCAATGGGCGGAGCGTGTGAGTGGGCGGAGCCAAAATAATTCAAATCCACTCTTTTTGCGTCCTTCAGACACAAAAAAAAAGATCTCGTGTCTCGCACTTGGGCGGAATGTGTGTGCTCTTGTGAAAAGCCTCAACATGGAAAATCCACTGCTCAGTGGCGCTTTCCCATTGCCGAAGCCACTTTCGAAAATGCTCTCATGCCACATATCTAGCATTTTCCCACTCTATATATCGAGAGAAAACTGATGCGCAGAGAAAACTTTCACCCAACTCTCATTTTCATTTTCCCCCGGCATTGATTTGATTGTATGCAACGCCCCGGCGTGTGCGCCACCCGCGGGTGGGCGCAGGGTGTGGGTGGCGCGCCCGCTCGGCCAGGCTTCGGGCGGCGTCGCGTACGAAGCGGCCGCTGCCCCCGGCTGGGTGCGTCGGAAGTGTAGCTGGGGCGGCCGATCAATACGGCTAGACGAGCGCGCCCCAAACCCCCGGGCCGCCCCCGCAACTGCCGCCCACGCCGCGTCTGCGGCGCGTTTTTTCGGCAAGGGTGAACCTGTGGGGTTTGACAATGCGCCCGCCGCTGGCGTCAATCGTCTGGGGCGCAGAGCTTTCGGCCCCCGTCAGAGGGTGGGCGTTTGTGCTTTCGCTCCACTTTTTTTGCTGCCCAGCCACCCTCAGCCAGGCGCTTGTTTACCGCCGTCACGGAGCATTTCTGTTGATTTTGACCACTGAAAGTGAAAGCGCTCCCGCACGAGGACAGGCGCCGAGATGCATTTTATTGGTGCCACGAGAGCCAAGCCAGACTTTTCCCATAAAGAAGCCACCCTTCGGGCGTGTGTGTGGGTGGGAAAATTTCGACAACGTCTGCTGAGTTAATCACTCTCTTCGTCTCACATTAAAAGTCATACTTGTTGACGTGTAGATTTTATTGCTCGCTCGCTGTCGCAAGACGGTGGAGTTACTCTGCAATCAATCAAAAGTCACTTTCAGTCCTTTTAGAGATAGAAGCTAAAAAAAATGGTTCTGGGATTGTGACATGTTCAGCAAAGTTGGTGAAAATGCTAATGTCTTTCACTTATAGCTGAAATTAGTGTGAAAATTCTCTGCATTTTATTATTAAACTCAGTTTGAATCTCTTGAAGTCAGGATAAAAAGTCGAGCATTTTGCGATTTTTTGCATCTTCGCACTTGCTTTTTGCACCGGATTTATTCTCTCCGTTTCTCCATTGCGACACTCAACATCCCGGTGGTTTTGCAGTCCCACTGAGAGCGCAAAAAATGAGATAATTCGCGATCATCAGTCATCTTGTGAATTTTTATGCAATGATTGATGCTTGACGATCATTTCAAATTTTTCGCCTATAAATAAAGGAGTACAAGTGAATTCACTGCGCTGAAAATGTGAGCCAATAATCGAAATTGGATTTCTCAGTAATCTCTTCACCTGTGTTCTTTTCACGGACGGAAAACTTCAAGATGAAGCACGTCAAGCAATGAGCAAATGCGGGTTAATATGAGATTATCGGAGTATTCAATGTGTGATTAATATTCCATTTGGCTAATAAATTCACGCGTACTAAAACTTTCCTTTCATATTGTCTCCCAACTCTGTCTCACTGGTTAGAGATTTAAAGACAAAAAAAAAGACTGGTGCTTGTATTCTACACTTTTCATTCATGAAATTTCGCAAGTCAAACTCTTGTCTCTGCATTTATTTATCTAGTGCTGCGCGGCTGAATAATTGCGTTTCTACTATTTGGTTTTTGGCAAAATCAACTCGATGTTGTTGAACTAGTTCGCATTTTGCTGCAGAGACAATGACTGGTGGACACACACTTCCTCATCAAAGCGCCTAACCTAGTTTAGGTTTTGGGTGATCTTTCAAACACCTTAACCCCGTTTCGCGTGCATCTCTGAGGTGTTTGCATCAATGATGCGCGGCGGCAGTTTGCCAATTCCTGGCCATAGACTCACTGGCAGACCCGCCGAAGATATTTGGCACATCCGAAATCTTTTCCGCAATGAACTTCGCATCACTTTCGCTCTCGATGGATGAAGCGAAAGCGCGCGCGGTTTTTGGCCAAAATGCGTGGCCCGCCAAAAATGGCTGCATTCTCTTCCTCGTCCGTTCGCGAAGTGCTGCAATAAAAATTACCGCACAAACGAATTATTTATGAGGTGTGCGCGCGCGGTGTACAAAAAAGAGCGACGAGAAAAACGCTCGTGAGCTGACAAGCAACCTACTTTTTCGGTGATTGTGTAATCCGGCAAGAGAGCTTGGAAGTCTCTCGTCAGTGGGCCAGAGAGCGTCTTTGGGCGCGCGCTGCTCATATTCAAAGACGATCGATTCGGCGATGTGCGATGGATCACTTAATGATATAATTCGGCGGTAAAGTCATGCCTCAACACCTCGCGCGCCGCGATGAGGATCAAATTGGAATGCGCGGAGATCCAGAGAATGACTGAAGGCGGCAAATGATTTTGTATCAATTGCCCTGCAATTTATGGGTGTCAAAACAACTGACCGATTGGCAAAGTACACATCACTTTTGGGCACTGACCGCCCGGCAGACGAGGAGTGCGTGAAAACACGTTTTCGGCTGTTGGGCTGCCGAAAAATTTCACTTTCAACAATTGAAGCCATTGAAGCTCTTGCGGCAATTTTCATGATGAATTTCTTCAATGTGGCAGAAGGAATGCAATTGAGCCGACGACGAAAGTGAAGATCAAAGTGGTTTTATTTTCCGCGTGCTTCGTGACTCGTCGCCAAATTGGTTGTGTTTGTGCTGACTGAGGATGTGCAATGGCATCTATACAGAGTGTCCAATTAGCACAGAAGGTCGAATTGCACATCTCTTTTTCTCAGGTGAAGAATTTTCGCAATATTGGCCAACACACGGTTCTTTTTGTCGTGAAGTCAACAATTAAGAGCCACGGTAAATTGGCGTGAAGAGCACAGCAAGTAAAAGAGCCATGTGGTTTCCCAACATCTCAACAGATGATTCACAATTGTTGAGATGAGACAGAAATATTCCACAAATTGATGCTTTTCCTGACTGGAAATAAGCTTTCGGTGTGATTTTCACCTTGCAGCAATGAATTTGCGTATTGATTGATAATGTTTGAATGAAAATTGCATAGAGAAATATAATATTATTATGTCTTGTTAGAAGATAGTTAGACGGTCAAGTTTTTCTCTTTCCAAAGGGCATTTGACCCTGATTTCTCTCTCCCGATTTCACGAATTTGCCAATTGACCGCTTCTCTTCTCGTTCTTCTTGCAGTGAACACAGAAATTCCCATCTTGCCACAGTCGCCGAGTCCGCCACCACAGCAGAGGATCTCGTCAGCATCAATACCCGCGGCAAGTGCAAGCAATGGCCACCACCAGGGACCACCGCCTCACCGGCAACTCCTCCACGGGCTGCTGAGCGGAGCGCCGATCCATTCAGCGCCATACCACAGAAACTACAGCACGTCCAGTACAGGTAAACTCCCGCCAATCTCAAGTGCATGTCCAGGAAGTGTCACTGAAGTATGGCCCGAAAACACCTCAGAAATCCAGTCATAGCAAAAGAAATCGTTGCAAGACATTTTTCTCATGACGAAATGTCACAGTCATCGCAGGTATTGAATATAGATGTGGACAGAAATGCAGCCTGCAGCGTTACAAAGCGCTTTTGCAGGCAACAAATAAATCATAATTTTATCAGCTGCCTTCATTTCTCGTCTTCGACGGGACAAGAACTCGAGATTCAACCTCTCCCCCGCTGACATGAAGCACCTGTAAGGGATGATTCGCCCCTCGCACCCAGGCATTTGGGCTGTTTTTCGCACAAAGAGATCCGAAATTTGCTCAGTGGTGCAAATCTCAAGGGTTCCCATGGCGCATCTCGCATGAAAAAAAGGGTCACTCTGTGTTGCCCTCGAATCAAATATTACACCCTGAGTTTTGATTATAAATCCTTGTTGCATTCTCCTGTAGTTTTATATAAAAATCCCAGCTCTTTCATGCCTCACAGTCGGTAGCGAATCTCTCGCTTGGCTACCGAACACTGCCTCAGCTTCCAGGTAGAGAGAAAGAGCGAAAGGAGTGCAATGGAGAGACGCGTCTAATGCACCCAAAGTTGAATGGATAATCCACAGGGTGAAAGAGAGAGAGAGAGAAAGAGGCACAAAAAGCATCTCTGGCATTGTTGGACAAGGATTTTATACTGATGTCGTGCAAATAAATGCAATTTCCAGTGACAATGGGTGAAAGAGTGAAATCCCCTTGCAGTACAAAAAAGCAGCAGATCCTGCCGAATTGGATCAGAAGAAAGGATTTTATTATGTCGGATTTCTCTGATCCTTTTCCTGATGGCTCACATTTTGAGGTTTGCCTCCTTCGCGATTGAAACTGGGTTAAGATTTCACCCTCTCAACAGTTAGACGTTTGAAGATTACCGCTAAGATCCGCTGTTAGGTTGCAGGAACAGTAATTGATCATCAGCTATTGAACAATTTTGCGAACTTTTTCGCACTACAAGCAAACATACAATGAAACATTACAGTCTTTGTAGCTTCATTTGGCGCAGACTGTCCTCGAAATGTGTCAAAATAATTGTGCAAAATGTTATTTATAGTTGCATCTTTTCAAATAATTAACATAATTTTAAGAAAAATCACAAAACTCTCGCAACAAAGGCAAGTTTGGACGTGAATAGTTAGGATTCTCGGTGGTTTGTGAACAAATCACACCATTTTTGGTTGTCTTTTCACTTTCAAATTGCCCTCACTCGGTGTCATTTTCTGTGTTTGCCGAAGGGATTTGCCACAGAGGAGTCCTGAAGCAGCAACAAAGTCCTCTTGAGTGGACAGATGGACACATGCGTGGGTTGCTTGAGTGATTGCATTTCGAGTTGCGACACTGAGGGTAGGAAAATTGCACAAAGCGTGTCAATTTGTGGATGGCAAAGGGTTGCCGAGCGGCAAGTGAGGCAGCAAACGGGAGGATGCAGATGCTGATCTTCGGGACCAATAGTGTCAATAGGATGGGTGTGGTTCGGAGCCAAAATGCAATTATTGAGCCCTCTTGTGACACATCGAGAGCCAATAGGCATTTCACTTTCACCCTCGGAGGATGTCTGGCGAGAAGTGACTGATGGTTTTCACCTCTTTCACTCTCACTTATCCGTCTTTTTGCCATGGCAAATATTTGGGTGCATCTTTGTCGGCGACTCCTGTCCATCTGCAGCACAATCTGCCCTGCTTTGACACTGATTATCCCCTGGCGAATTCCCCAAAAATGCGACAATAGAAGGTGGTTTTTCGCTGGTGCACCTTTCATAGCACAAAGAGACGAGTGCATGAATTGTGGATTTTTGGCCAGAAAAACACCTTGTCTTCCCTCCCGGGAGAGCTTTAAGCCATCTGCGAGCAACGTATTTTCTCAAGATAATATTCCACGCATTGTGCGATGCTTGCAACACATTCGGACGTAAGATGAAAAATCGCGCATTTCCCAATGCAATTCAATTTGTCTTGTGGAAATGAGATTCAAAAGTTTCACTCTTTTTTTTCGGGGAAGACGAATGGCGCACTAAATAAAATCCATTGTTTAACTTCGCGGTCGATTACTCATAATTTTGAAACGTGCTCAACAAAAGGATGGACAGCTGAAAAAGTGAGAAGAGATTCCTGCCTTGGCATGAGGAAAATGCCTGGACAAGAACGAGTTCCGGGCATTGAGAGAGAGAGGAAATTCCAATGCAAATGAACTTGAAACGTCGCAGGAGACCATCAAAAGGAGTCCTCAATCCTTATTTGCATTATCTTCCTCCTTTTTTTTCTATCCTTGTGTGCCCTCAACCCGGATTCTCTCACAGGGATGCCCATTAATGCTGGTATTGTGCCGGAGTGACCGTTGGTCAAGCGATGAATCAATTTGAGGAAAAGTCTCTCTGCGCGAGATTTGAGTTATTTGAACATGGGCATTTGAGAAAAATGTTATATGCAAATCATTGTCCTGCCTTGCGCGCTCGTAAATGCGGAACAGAATAATCACGGAGGGCGCCGAGGCCGAGGGGACAACTGATATGCGATTCGAATTGACCATCGGTCGAAAGAGGGAAGAGACAACTCATCCCCGATTGCTCGGCCACTATCTCATCCCTAAGCATATGTCTTCCTCTTGCGATTGTGTGTTTTTTTTCGTGGGAATTCCCTTGTGGAATCCCTTCACGGTCATCTATTAAACGGGTGGAATGAGACAAATTTTCTAGCTCTTCCGAGCACATCGTTATGGCTGGGTCATAAAAGATTCAACCAGTTTTGGTGAGACAAGACGCTGAGGGCTTCCCCATAATAATAGTTCATGAAAGATGTTGATTATTGTCACGATAGAGCTTCCTTTTATCGCGCCTTATTAGCTTGCTATGCAATCTTATCCAAACTGAGCGAGAAATTAATTGCTTTAGAACAAAACCGTCTTCAAAGAGTCAATATTGAGCTTAAATTTACGATTTTGGAGTGAATTTTGGAGCTCAACTCGAGACTGAACTTCCTGAAAGTGATCTTCCTGTCAACATCTTCATCAGGAGAGGGAAAGTTGGAGTGACAGTAAAGTTGTGTATGAGCGCTCATATGAGGCCTTAATCTTGTTTATTAACACCCGTCGAGACTTTGGCCTGTTTTCGGCCACTATCAGGACAATCTTTGGGCACAACTTCCGCTTCTGCCCGCGCCACAGGGCGAGAATGATGGATTCCCATGGGCATGAGGGATGGTGTGCAAAGAAAGAAGTGGTAAAGAGACGCCTTGATGAAATCATGAATAATTTCAGCCCCCCAGAAACTTTCTATATAAATTTCCTAATTTCATCCATCCTCTTGTCGCATCTCAATTTTCATCATGTATTCTCCACACACACACTGGCTCGAGGTTGGGCGAGAGAAGAGTCTATAAATTGTAGTTGGGATATTGTGTCCATACGGCGGTATCTAATTTCTAAATCTCTAACCTGTCCCTTGAATTTTGAGCGAGTCGACCGGTGGGATACACTATTAAAATATTTACATCCTTATGTGAAATTCGTCTCTGAGGGATCCCGAAAGTATGTCCAGGGGATGTCCCTGCGATGGTGTGTGTGTGTGTGTTTTGAGGAAAGAAAACTGGTCAACGAGCGCTGACCTGGTGTGACCTTGCGTTTTTTAATAAAATGATTAATAGCTTTTAGTCGACGACGTTATATTACACATCCCTCGGACAACTTTTCTCCTGAGACTTCCCTCCTTGTCAACTGGTTCCATTAATGTTGAATCCTCGTCGTCAATTTTGCATGTGGACGGAAAAGGGTTTCCACACGCCGTCCCGCTCGCTCGCACTGTCATTGCGCCACAATTCCGCGATGGTCAGTGTCCACATGTTCCCTCTGGCTCTGACCCTCGGGCGACGCGAAAGACACATCCTCACGGAGATAATTCCATCAAATGGACACTGCGCTCGCTGAATTTCCACTCGAGCTTCTTCCTTGCGTTTGGTGCATAAAATAAAACTTAATGATCATTCAGAGAATGTTTCACCTCATCGTCCCATTTGTCCTCAGGCGCGGATGCCAAACCCCGTGGGCGCCCAACGGGACGGGGATGGTGAATAATTCAGGAATGGATCCCACGTCGAGTGTAGTTTAATTTTAAGTTTAATTAGACAAGGGTGGATGGGTGAGAGATGTGTGAAAATGGAAATTGTGTGACTTCATCCCGCGTGAATATTCCATTTTTCAGTATGGAAGGGAAGGATGTGCTGTAAGAGGGCGATGTTATAGAATTAAATGGAGAGTAGTTTCATGTGTTGTGCAGAATGTGAAGTGCAGAATTTTCCCATGTTGCGCGTGCCTCTGTGTGTGTGTGTGGATTTCCCTGCACAGTGTGAAAGTTCAACAGAGGACGAAATCAACATGGGAACACTTCTTGCAATGCGAGAGATGCAATTCAATTTTAGTGAGATGCACTTCTTTTTGCCACTTCACAATGTCCCTGAGATAGATTCTGCTAATTAAACTGAGGGAGTGAATAGAGTTTTCCTCAGCGGTATCCTTCCTCGGTGATTTATAGCCAGGAGGAAAAGTGTGAAGGACGGATGAGGACGAAGGCCAATCTTGAGGTTATCTTACAGGAATTTAGATGAGCAATTTCAGGATTCTTTTCAAGTACAGAAACAGGGAAATTGAAAATAGGCAAAAACAATTCTTAAGTACGCGAAAACTTTATCAGAAATTACAATAAATTCAATGTCTTAATGCACGAAATTAACAGAACAATACAATAAAATGTGCTACAAATTAAGAATGACATGAAAGAAATAAATCCACATTATTTGTCATGGAAAATTTACATTCATTAAGCAATGTGAAAAACACAAGGGAAAATTCTTGATTTAAGTCCTCAATATTTCAATGTAATTCTAGTTTGACATCCTAAAATGTTATTCTGAGAGAAACTATGCATTTTCAGCATGTCAAAATCCTGTGAAATGCTTCAGTGACAGGACTTCCTGCGCCCCCCAAAGAGTCCACAATTTGGGCTGACCTAGAGCAATCTAATGACAAGTTTGCACTCTCGTTGCAGGTTCACTGCCACCGAGTCCGGCGGATAGTGGAGTCTCCGACGTGGACTCGTCCAGTTCCGGTGGCCAGCCGGCGTGCAGCGAGGAGCTGAAGGCGCGCCTCGGGATGCCGCCGCACTGCCCGCCTCAGGGCCACATGGCGCCCGGCACCTTCCTGCATCCCAACTTCTACCACAATTCACCGCCGCAATTACGTAATATATGGAATAATCGCAATGTATCACGTGAGTTGCCCAACATTCCACTGTTCTTCAGCCGCCCTCCCCGCGCCATTGTCCCCCAAACACTGAGAACTCATGCATTTTAACACTCTTCTTGGACTTTGGGAGTCGCATTGTTGTGATGGAGTAACTTCCGAATGAATTGCGTTTTATTTTTACACGCGTACCATTTAAAGCCCATTTTGAATGAAAAATTCAACATATATGCAATATTTGCTCTCGTTCGCGAATAATTTGTACTTCCGCTGGCGCTCTCTTTTGCACCCAAGTCACATTGCCGGGCTTTTTTTCCCATCTCTCGCGCTCATAGGACGCGAGGAAGACAAATAGCAAGCAACACAACTGCGAACGTACACAGAGTTGGACGAGGCGAATTTTGCATTTATACAGATTTTTTTTTATCGCTTTTCCATATTTACGTCTTGTTTTTTTTTATATTTATTTCGCCTCGCGATGATGGAATTGGGAACATGGAGAGTTTCCTCTGTGTTTTGAGCATCCGAAAAGGATGGTAATTTTTTCTCTTCTTTTTTCGTTAAACTCAGCAGAGCTGAAGAGCGCAGCGAAATTGCACAATTGCTATGTGAATTAATATACTGTGGAATATCACCAGTGTTAGAGGAGTAGAGCTGAAATTGTCTGTGAATTTTTTAAGTATTTGCTTAGCACACCGGAAAAGTGGTCGAGGCTGTATTTTTGGACAGAGTGCGAAGAAAAAGAAAAAAATATTCCGTCGAGAAGCGCGCGCTTTTCTGTTCTCATACAATATTCTTTTTGTGTGTCATTTGGCGCCAAGAAGACTTTGCAAAACTTCATTAATGAAGAGTGGTTTTCGCGGAAAGTTTCCTGCCGCGTCAACCAGTGTGGAGTTTTAGAGCACAGAGTTTATGATCTCTTTTGTGGGGCATCAATTATGAGTCAATCGGCGCGAAGAGGCGATCCTCCGCCGTGTGATATTTGGCGAATACAGTGCCAGGAAATGGCACAGAGTGGAAAAGAAGCATTCCTATAATTAATTCCGCTGAGAATGCCCGAGAGGCGTCCCAGAAAGTGCACAAACTGGGCGTTTGGTGGGCGAATTGGGTCGCACAATAGAGTGCTCATTCGATGTTAGCCAATGATGACTCGTGCAGATGATGTACAATAAATTCAATTAAATTTGTCATCGTGGGCTTCCTTCCTGTGTGCGTCGTGTACAAATCATTTCCGGCTTCCCGTTTTCATATATGACGATCCATGTTCCGCATCATTTTCGTCCGCAGCCACTCGCTATCACTCCAATTTCGGGTGCTGACGCGGTGTTATGATGCTTGATAAGCATAAATTAGTAGGGATTTTACGAGTTCAAATGCTCTAAGACTTCTGTGTCGGTCGTATTTCTAATTCATTCACCTGAATCTATCATTTTTCTTGGCAATTTTTCAAAATTAATTTATTATCTAAGTATTCTTTGTCACATGTGACATACAGTGTTGTGTGAGAAAATATGTCCACCTTAATTTATTTGCTAAAAGTGCCATTTTCCCAGAAAATATGCATTGCATTACATTGTCAAGTTTGATGCTCTTCAGCATTTGAGAGCTAAATAGTTCACACAGTGACAGAACAGTGTGATAATGCCTTTACATTTGCTTACTTAGCCATCAAACGATCCCAATTACTTCTGACGGAACTGTAGAATTTAAGCACCTTTCACGCTTTTGACACTTTCGCATTCAATTTGAACAGAAAAAGCCATCAAGAGAGTCTCGGAAAATTTATAGATTTATTTAGAAATAATATTTACTCAGCCCCGATTTGAGCGTTGATTTTTCCAACAAAATCAATCACACTGTCGGCAGTCTATCAACATTTCAGCCTCTCTCGCGGCTATTGGAAATTCAAAGAGTTTTTCCACCGAGTGAATTGCATATTCTGCCGTTCCTCAACCCCGCGCGATGTCGTTCGCTGTCTTCCCGCAGCATATTTTCATGTGCAATTGGTGAGTGTGTGGCCTTCAAAGTGCAAAAAAGCATTGAAATAGTCCAATACCCGCTTGGTGGGGTATTAATAACTTCTGAACGGCTCGTGCAAACCGAAGGAAGAGACTCGCTGACTGCTTGGGAAGTCTCATATGCCGACGGAGAGAGAGGTGGGAAAAATGTATGCACAAAGTGTGTGTGGAAGGGAAAAAGAAGTATATAACATTTGCAAAATGTGGAAACTATACAGAACGTGCTATTTAATTTGCCGTTCCGGGTGTTTGTTTGAATTAAAATGCGCGACGACTCGTCGAGACAAATAACAAAGAGAGAGAGACTTTGGCGGTGGACTATCGATGTGACACACAGAGGAATATTATGCAAATGCCATTTTTCGGTGGGCTCTTTTCCACTTTCACTATCACTCCTTTTTTTCTGGCCTCACTATCGCTTTCATTGATGATGGCGCTCTGGTGTTTTTGGGGCCAGAGTTTTGGCGGAAATGTGTCTGCACTTTTGATGGTCCAAAAGTGTGTGTGTTTGTGTATTTGTGGTTTGTTGATGGGGTGGAATGTCTGAAAAAAGCACTTTGACGTGATCTTTTGCTATTTTGACCACGACAGAAATTACACTGTGTGATATTTTTAGCGCTCGGCAGAAAAAATAGCTCATTTCTTATATGCACAAACACGATAAACTGCTCTTTCTCGCGGAATGTTGAGGTGTGTATTATATTAAAGCTTTTTGGCTTGAAGTATAGAGAGGAGAAGCTTGAACGTGTGTGCTGAGATTCTGATAAACAATCTTCGAATTCAGCGTGTGCAAAATTCACTTCTAATGTCAGATTGAGGTCATAAACACTGATTTTCGCCACCCATAAAATATGCCAAATTTATTTTTAATATTATTTTGAAGCAACACGACACGAATCTCATACTTTCTGCACTACATGTCAACCATCATCTTGTCTCTGCAAAATAGAGCAGCTTTTGCCATCCTTTCGCGCCATTTCTGGGGTCCAGAAAGTCCGAGACTTTTCCATCACACCTCAGGAAGTGTACATAATTTATTCGGTGTTCCTGACCTCCTCAATGACAAACTTTCGTCTCTCGCGATGTGTCGTCAAAGTGTGTATAGGTATGTGCGTGGAGAATTGGTCAGCCCCGGAAATCGATATCAATTTGGAAAACTTCTCTGCGGACACACAAAATTTATTTCTATAAATAATTCCTTCGCCACTCAATTGGGAGGGTTTTTTTCTCAAGTCGGAATGCCACGTGAATTTCTTCACTCTCTCTCTCTGCTTTATTATTTATTTTCACTCTTTATAAATTCTCGACTTTTCACACATATTCTCAGGCCTTTTTCGTGGCTGTTCGCAAAAATGGGCGGCGGGGAGAATGCGCGAATTGAAAGCAGGGCAGAAAGTCAATAATCGCAGTGAAAATGTCAATGGATTTATTTGTTACTCGTGCAGTTCTCAATTGAGCAATTGATTGCCCATTTCCGCGTTTTGAGAGTTGGGCTGGGGTGAAAAAATGCATTGCTTGGCGTTGTCATAATACTCACTCGAGTATTTGCATTGCGACAAATTTAGGAAAATTGTTTTATCAGAGGAATTCTTCAAGATCAATATGATAAATCTCCCCCAATGACTTGTTTCTCATTCAATATTTGCTCTAACCTAAGTTTGATGTGTTAAAGTGAAGAAAATCGATTGCAAAAATGATTTTTGTATGCTGTTTTCAATGTTAACTGGGGCGCTGGGGAGAGAAAAATGTTTCACAATCTATCATTTCCGTTCATGAGGAATCAATCTTGCTAAGTGTGTGACTTTGCATCGCGAAAGAGGGGAACAAATATCTCCGCGATACGTGATCACGATCTGTAGCTGACTGTGGAAATGGTGGGGAAAAAAAGTGCAAATTTGCAAAAATGCGATAAGCTTGATAGGAAAGTGTCAAAGACTTTCTTTCTCTCTGAGCTCTAAAATCATGATTCCGCGATCTTTTATCAGGAAAATGTGTTGGCGATCGCGATAATTGAGAGTTTAGTGACATTTGAGATGATGCGAGTGCATTATGAAAATTTCCTGCCACTCTCTTATCAGCGTCACTATGGCGAATGTGATCGATTTATTAGAGGTTATTAGCGGCGCGAGTTCATTGTGTTTTGATATTTGTGAATGAGAGGCGGGTGGAAAAGGAGGTTTATCGCGATGATCGCCTCAAGTGGCGGATTTCCACCGTTCAGCAAATGGAATTCTGTGTGTGTGGAGAATCGTATTGAAATCCTACATTGCAGAAATGGCAATAAAGTTGGAATAATGTTCTTGAGTAATTGCGGAAGTTTTTCCCAACAAGAGTGGAAGAATTTCAATCGCTGGGCGCTTGTGCAACAACAGTTCAAGATCACTGTGGAATTTTTCACTTCTCAAATTGGCTTTTGGGGGTCTTTTGCGGATGATTCATTGGGGCTTCACGGAGGAGTGGACAAAAAGAGACGATCAGGAATTGGAAGTTTTTCGTCTGGGCGGAAGATCGCGGTGCAAAATATATTTTCACGATTGCGACCAGACAACCAAAACTGGCGAATGGAGAGCAATAATTTTTAGTTTGATACTCAGCTCGCTCGTCTGGCGTTTTTGCGCGCGTGTGTGTGTGCGAGCGAAGAGTTGATTTGGACGAAGCCGCAATAAAAGAAACTCGCGCATCTAAAACATATTCTTCCTCAATAAACAACTTCCTTTGTTTTAACCCGTGTTATAAGATGGGTTCTCCATGTTTTCTCTTGTGCGCGTCTTTTGCACAAAACTCCTCTTGGCATATTTCCTCTCTCGCTCGCTCGTCGATCGCGATCGCGCGACTATATGCACACACCTCGCGAAAAGCGCTCTCAACTACATTGAAGCTAGCAAAAATTCTGCGACTTTTCTTGCAATTTTAGCCTGTTTACATTCAATTCCGCTCTCGGATTCACGTTCCATTTCATTAGGCGCACTCGCCGTCTCGCTTGCACCTGTGCGATCGCCGCCTGGCCCGAGCGAGTGCGGAAGATGATCATTTTGCTAAATTGGTGGCTCTGTAGAGGAATTCTCCGTGCGATCGTAGAGCCGTAGCATCCAATGATCGCGCACAATTTTTGCAACATCGCGCCCAATACACTCGCGATCCTCCAAAACTCTATTCGCCGCAGCGCGCGACTAGTGTGTGTAGTTGTGTTATGCTGCATCTATACCGTTTGCTTTTTGTCGTGACCTTCAGAATATGCGCAAAGACGATGTGTCGATGACCAGTATGACGATCGCAGCGATATTTTTTCCCAACCATCATCGCCACAGTTTTTTCCTCACTCGTGTGCTCAGGGGAAAAAATCTCCGCTGATCTTCTCTCTCTCGCTTGGCTCTTTTTTTTCGGGGGACGGGATCATCGTTGTTTATTTGGGTGTTTGGACTGTCTCGATCGCACTGGGAAGATGCAGGTTTTCGGCTCAGCCACACGGAAAAATTCCACCGCCAGTTCTAATTGCGTTCGCCAAATCAACGCGGTGGGATTTTGAGACAAGAACGCTCGATTTGTTTGCAATCTGAACCTGAAAAATCACTATTTTCGCCCAAGAGATAAGAGAGAGAGAGAGCAAAGTATTGTGAGAAATTATCAGCTTCAAGCACAGTATTTAATTATGCCTTGAGCTTTAGTCATTATTCTGTGCTCAATTTGTTGCTTTTCTTACCTATAAAGTACTAAAATTGAACTGACATTCTTCCAGTCTTGTTCCTCCTTTACATTCTTGTGCTTTATCCGGTGAATGTGCAATCCTTCCTAACTTTTTAAGCTTTCTATTGCTTTAGGCAATATTATATTACGCTCGAATTTGTACTCTTCTTTGCACAATTGAAATGGCAAAAACCTTCCCTCTTATGAAGATATTCACCATTTTCCTGCATGCCACGCCTGTGATCTGACTTGCTCGCCGAGGGGTGAATTTCAACCCTCTTTTGTGAATGTGACAAATGGAGGGGATTTTATTTGACTTTCACGAATCTGACCGCAATCGTAGAAAAATCAACTGCGAGAACTCTGCTCCTCTTCTTGCATTTTCGCGTGTGAGAAAAACTCGTTTTTATCAACTTGTCTCCTCGCAATGCCTTATTATGCACAAGCGATATCGCGTCATTCCGGCATTAACACAACAATTAATCGCGAATTTCATTGGAGCGGAACTTTTTACGACTTTCTGCACAAATAATGCCTACAATTAATCATGTTTTCTTTTCTTTCTCTCAATTTAAGACAATCTTTCGCCTCTTTTTCATAACAAACCCCACTTGTAATCTGTATGACTCTCCATTTCTGTCGTCCATGTGCAAATTTGCTGCGCGCCTCTCGCGAAGGTGCGATAACTTTTTTTTCCGCTGGCCACAGCCCCGCTATAAAGATAGAAAAATGCAACAAGAGTGATTCAATTTCTTTTCGGGCCACTTGCAGTGTCAGGCTGGGTTTTTTTTGCCGCATGTCAAGAGGAGAAAAATTGAGGAGATCAGCAACCAAGTTCCGTAAATAGATTTTTTCCTCGTACAGTGGGAGCTGTTATCGTTTTTGAAAATTCACTGTCTCTGCTAAAATTATCACCAAGTCATGTGAATAACACTCTCAATTATGTAGTTCAACTTGATGATTAAAGAAATCGTGCAGAGGAAGTGCGAGAGAGAGATGATCATTTTTTGGAGCAATTTGCATCCTGACGGGCGCAAAAGTTGAAATAAAATTGCGCGTGTGGAATAAACAATTGGCGATGCGGAAATGGCAACAGGAAGTGAAAGAACACTTTATAATGCCATCCAGACAGTTAGCTTTTAATATGCGGCCGGGATGGCGTTCTTTCTCAGCCCGGCGAGTCGTCGAAAAGAGCCGCGCTCTGCGCAGCGCGGCTCTTCCTCTTCGCCAGCATCCGCCATAGGAAAAATGTGAGATGGGAGGAATGGAAGAGGCAGAAATTGCATAGAAGGGGAACAGGATTTTTGCAAGAACTTCTCTCTCTCCTTCTCACTCGGTTGACCTTCTGCCGAGCGATCACCCTAGAAATCCACTGACACCAACTAATCGCGGGCGCATTCTGCGCCGCTCTGTTCCTCACTCATGCACATCATTCTATGGCACAAACACTGCCACGAAATTGCTATTCTATTTTCTCCTCCAATTGACGAGCAAACTATACGTATTCTCAGCACTTCGTCTTTCCTTTCACTTTATTTATGGTCATGTCTCAATGTGTCATTTGGCGCTCGAGAAATCATGAGCACAACAGTTACTGTCGCTGTTTTTGCCTAATGCACTTTCCTGGCCAATTCGCTCAATAGTTCTGCACAGGTTCCAATTTGGCGGCCAGAACTTGCAATTTCTGTGACATTCTTGTGATTAATTGGTGATCGCTTCGGCCGATCATCGATTATGGTTGTGATTTATTTGATTTTATCACATAAGAATTGCAATTCAGATTAGATGGAAACTCCTTTTTCCATCAATTTTATTAAATCTTGCCGAATTCACAGGTTTCTTTCTGTGCTCTTTTCAGCAGCAAAAATGTGTCTTAAGCCTAATTTACGCTCATTTTCATTCCTTAACTTGTGTTTATTCAGGAATTTTTGCGAAAGAAAGTGACATTTTGAACTGGATTCTTCTAGTTTCGCCAAAATATCTCACTGATACTGAACTAGACGAAGATAGATTATATACACATGTAATTCTTGTGATATTGTTTGTATCAGAAGCACGCAAACACAGTCTTGTTTCCCTATCTAATCTCATCTCTTGTATCTCCGTCAGACTAATTTTTCTGGCAAGCTTCAGGGGATGAAAAACTGCGTGAAATTTGGCGTTCTTTCCACAAATTGATCTCTCGAACTCTCGCCACGCATTTCTCTGAAAATACCCAACCATGCGTAAGTTTGATAACGCTGATCTTTCACTACAAACGTAAGTCTTTGGATCACAAAACAACGTGACCATCTGACATTAAGAGAATGGACGAGAAATCATAACAGGAAAGTTTAATTAGCTTCAATTAGCCGATAACATTGTATAGTATCTATGTTTATTGTGTGAAGAAGATGGCAAATAATTGTACATTTTTTTTCACTATTCATCAGGAGGAAAAGCTCTATTTTCCAGAGCCATCCTCTTCTGACCCCCGCGATGGGCGCACAATCTCGCGAAGTGAGGTCAAAGTCACATCAAGGTCTCGTGGACTTTTTGTCCCTGGCCTCAAATCTTTCTCTCACTCTGGCGGGCTGTTAAAATTGGGAAGTAATTTTTGTCACGACACAAAATACACACTGATAAGATGACTTTCGCGCGCGAGGCACAGAGAGATTAAGGAAGGAGAGCCTCTCGGCGTGGCCTTATGCATTTTTGCAAATTAGCTGCTGGCGGGAAAAAAAAATGTGTGCTGTGGCATCAAAGACTCGACTTCCTCTTATCAATTCCAGTAGCAGTCACTCAACAAGGTCAGGAAAATGGCTTTCGAGAAAGCAGAGAGATAAAAAGAATTCGGCGAATCCCGCAGAAAGTCTCTCGCAATTGTCAAAAAATCTCATAGCGCGCGAAGAATTGAGTGAAGGAAGCGCGACATAATCTCCAACGAATTGGTTATAAATTTTGGAACACGGAAAATTTACGGAGAGATGATAAACATTGCTGATAAAAGAGCACGGCAATTGGGTCAAAGACGCTGATGATTAAGCAGCATAAAGCCATGCCAAAACACAGGAATTAGCAGCCCCTCAGCGGAATTCTCTATACTGAACTGTCGCGAGACGCGCTCATCTGCAACTCGCTGGAGAAGTCGCGCGCGCTTCCAGCCAATGACCAGGAAACAGCCACTCTGCGCGATTGACCTTCATTTTGCCTCTTCCCTTTATCACACTATTCCTCCATTCCCTCCCTATTTCGCAGTGTGAGTGCAATCTCGCGTCTTCCCTTCTGCCCGCCGCAGTGGCAGCTCTCTCTCTCTTGGCCCACGATAAGACGCGAAGGGCGCTCTCTTCCACGCTCCAGATTTCTCTGCAGCGCTGCTCCCATTTTCGCCCCCAACGCGCGCTTCCAGTTGCCAATTTGGCTGCCAATTAGCGCTCCGATACGCGAGTCTCGGCGCTAAATCGCTCTGGCTGGTGATAACAGAGTGTATTTCCGGGTAGAAATGTGCCAGGCAGCACGGACTCTCCAAGTGGCTCTCTTCGTCGCACACCAACACTTTCGATTGCATAACGAGACAAGCGACAGAAAAACGGTCGCTTGCACTTTGGTTCCATGACGATGGGCCGCGTAGGTGGAGAACAGGTGTGAATTTCTACGAGTTAACGCGACTCAATTGACTGTCAGGCAACGACAGAACCTGAAAGCCAGCGAAATTTATCAGCTGAAACTGATAATCTTTGCCACTGTTCCTCAATTAGTCTATGCACAGCACTTTCACGTGTTATTTGCGCTATTTATTCACTTAGATTCATCACTTGATTACATTGCGGTTCTAGATGTGAAAAAAAAATCATGAAAAATGCAAGAAACTGAGTGGAATTTATGTGAAATGGAAGCAAGAATACTTTCAGTGTCGTTCTTAAGTTTGTAGACTAAGAAAATGTGCTTCGACAGGTCGAAATTGATGTTCTCAATATCCAAACTTACTAGATTAGGTTAGAAAAGGATAAGAAGTTAGGTAATCTATGAGAGATCAGAAGAATCTAGTGAGATTTCTTCTTATCTTGCATAATAATTGATTTACTTAAGTTTCACCTTCACTTTTCCTCATGCTTCAAAGACAGCCTTTGTGGCTGCTTCTGATCTTGGAACGCATTCTGTCTTCCTCTTCCTTTTGAAGAAAAGTTGCGAGACTTCATTTCTGATCCGATCACTTCTGGTCTCCTTTTCTTTTGTCGCTTCATCTTCGTCGAAATGCATGAGTCTCAGCGATTGTCTTAATTCAATTCCTTGTTGCACTTTGATTGAATATCTGAGTCCTTTGCTCTTCCTTTGCAGTGCCAGACAGTTACTACCTGCATTCGATGAATGGTAGCTATCCGCCATCGCACTTCCCGACCCCGTCGCCGGCCCGGGTGGGCCCCCACCAGGCGCTGCACCCGCAGAGCGTGATCCAGGCGGCGACGTCGAGCGTGGGCGACGACATATCCTACATGCTAGAGCTGGGCTTCCAGCAGCGCAAGCTGAAGAAGCCGAAGAAGCCCCGGATCGAGATGGGCGTGAAGCGGAAGAGTCGCGAGGGCTCCACCACGTACCTGTGGGAGTTCCTGCTGAAGCTGCTGCAGGATCGCGAGTACTGTCCGCGGTACATCAAGTGGACGAACCGCGAGAAGGGCGTGTTCAAGCTGGTGGACTCGAAGGCTGTTTCGCGACTGTGGGGCCTGCACAAGAACAAGCCCGACATGAACTACGAGACCATGGGCAGGGCGCTGCGGTACTACTACCAGCGCGGCATCCTGGCCAAGGTGGACGGCCAGAGGCTCGTGTATCAGTTCGTGGATGTGCCCAAGGATATCGTTGAGATCGACTGCACCGGTGCGTAGGCGAGCGGGCGGCGAGTGTCCTTTCTCTCTTCTGCTATCCTTCCTTCAGTCTCTCTCTCTCTCTCTGATTGCCTTCTTATTTATTTTCCCGACACTCTCAAACCTCCCCTTCTGCCACTCAACGCATATTCAAAGATAAATGATATTCCTTCCACCAACTCACCTTTGGAGTGATGAGGAGAAAGAAGAAGAAACAAATTCTCTGTATTGAACCCACACACAAGATCTTCACGTGCTGAAGATTTTTTTTCTTTAATTTTAAAGTAATTAATTTTCTTTTTTTTGTAAAAGTGAGAAGATATTTTTAAAGAAAATTTATCGAGATACAAATATTGAAAGAAGAAGGAGGAAAAAGAAAAAACATGAAATCATCTGTGCAATGAACCAAAATAGATGTAAAAAAATTATTAATTAAATTTTTAACATAAATAAACTAGACATAATTATCGTTAAATTGTATAGTGAATGAGAGAGAACAAAATAGTTGATAAGGTTTTTTCACTCACACACAATTCTTTGGATGAACGAGAAAGTTTTTAGGTTTAATCGTGAAGGAAAAAATAATGAAAGAAGAAAAACGGCTAACATATGTAAGTAAAAACTTCATTAGAGATCTAGAGAAAGAAAAAATACATAGAAAAAAAGTCACACTGTACAAAAGGACAGAAAATGTTGAGAAATATCCCACTTTTGAAAAGACATGAAAGGCAAAGGGTTTGTAAATAATTCCTGAGGGAAGAAAAGATGTGTCAATGGTAAGAAAATTGTCTCTTTAGCTAATAAATGAATAAAAAAGGAAAAGCATACAAATGGAAATCAAAGAAAAATATCGAAACCTGTTGTGTAAACTTTGAATGTTGATGTGAATTGATATAAAAAAAATACAGAAAAATAGCTAAATGTTTCACTTTATGTTGATGTTGACCAATAAAATGTCATTAATAATGGAAAGAAGAAAATAGTAATTAATTTTTCCAGTGAATAGCAAATAAAATCGTTTTGATACCGTTTTTTAAAGCAAATCAAACATATTTATATTTGTTATATATTTTTCAAACAAAGATTAATGAGAAAAAGTGCGCGCATGAATCGTTGACGAGACGGAAAAATGTGAGATGAGAAAAGCAACAAAAAGTAAATGAAAAATACAAGAATTGTGATTGATAAAATAGAGTGTAAGATTAAAATAACTAAAGAAAAAAAAGAATGTGAAGAATTCTAACTGACTTTTTGGATACATTGAGCAATAATTTAGGATCTTTTTTCTTCTTTTTTCACATCCACAATTTTTAGACAAAAAATGAATGCAAAGTAAATTTTTTTTTTCCTTTCAAATTTATTCTCGATGCGACGTGATTGAGTTTTCGAAATGCCTTGAAAATGTGATGGAAAACATTAGAATTTTTAGCCTGGGAAAGTGAAAAAAAATTCCCCGGACGAGTTTCAGAGCAATGAAGAAGCGTGATTTTGGCGTGGTTTTTTCGTAGGAAGATCCTTTTTCAAAAATACGTTCGAATCAAACTCTCTTTTCACGGATTTACAACATCTCACCTTCAATTGGGACGAAAAAAAGGAAATTTTTGAATGAATATTAGGGAAAAATAAAATCTTAGAATCGATAGGAAAATGGATAGACAAAGTCATAGTTTGCGTTTGATTTTTTTTTGGTCAATTAAATACTTAAGGAGAAATTTGAGGCGCGTGTGAAGTCGAAAAATTATTCTGGAGAATTTTGAAGGGTGTGTAAAAAACTGATCTTAAAAATTAATGGCAGTATAAAATTTACTTAAAAAATAAATTTAATGGCAAAAAGTCCTATTCGATAAAAATTGAGTGTCATTGAAAAATAAAATTGTAAAATCCAAATGAATTTTTCATAAACGTGGAAAATGTGAATTTTTTACACACTTTTTTATAACCAGTAGTCATTCAATGTAGATGAATTTAGAAGGGGAGAAATTAGATGAAAAATTGCTGTATAAATTCTTGTGCTTCTTGATCGACGATCTCAGAACATTCTTTTTGCAAAAGAGCATTAAAAAAGTGAGTTTTCGCATGAGGAAAAAATGTTGTATGTTTGCGGCATCTTAGCTTTGATATCTCCGTATAAAGCATAAAAACTAAGTGAAAAAAGAGAGAGAGCGTGTAAAATTTGAGAAATAGGAAAGATGAATATTTGAGTACCTCATCGAAAACACTTGCTACAAAAGAACTTAACAAAAAATTTATAAAACTTAGAATATCTAAAGTATTTTCCTTGTCTTTTTGGGTTTTTTTTTCGTGCACTTCTCAGTGTTATTTTTCAATTTGACACAATTGAAAGCGAGCCTGAAAATAGTTTGTTATCCCCCAATAGAAATTTCACTGTATTTGAACATAAAGTGGATTTTTTAATGGAACATATTAATATTTGGTGGTGTAAAAAAAACGTAAAAGGGAAATACAAAAATAAAACATATAATCTTCGGTTTGCGTCCAACGAATTTGTGATATAAAGAGACAACAAACGAAATCAATTTAGAAAATTTGGTAAATATCTTTGTCATCATTGTTTCGGCACTTTTTATCTTCAATTGTAATTTTCAATGCTTCTTATTTGTAGCAAAAGAAAAAAAACCAGAAAACAAATCAGTTTTTTTTAGAGTTAAAGGAGTAAAAACTTCTCAGTAAAATCTCTTGAGGATAAAGTATAAAGAAAAAAAACTGAGTACATTTTTTAAAATGATTAAGAGAAAAAAATTGAGAAACTAGTGAAATTTTTTGCACATATAGGCAAATTTTTGGACAACTCGTGGACCTCAAAATATATTCGTAAAAAAAAATGATGGTGAAGAAGTTAAGAAGATAAACCAGTAAAGATACAAAATATACTTAAAAAATATTGCTAAAATGATGAGAAAGTCTCGTGAAATCAAATATTCAGAAATATTGAATCATATTATATTGAAATAATAATAAATAAATATTAAAAAAAAATATGTACAACTTTTAAAACTGCCGACAAAAGAAACAATTTATACACACAAAAAGAGTCTTTTTACAAACAAAATAAGAAGAAGAAAAATTTGAATGCATCTTCCTATGTTTTTATCCATATGAAAAACAAATATTGTAAAATTACCAAGTCAAAAAAAAATATAAGGAGAACCTAAAATACAAATTGAAAATAGCCTTTCAATATTATGAGAAGAGAAAAAAACCAATAAATTATTAAGAAAAGATACAAGTAAATCAAATATTAAATGTACTGTCAAGAAAAAAGAAACATATTAATAAGAAAAAATATTGAAGAATAGAAGTTTTACTAAATTTAGATCAATTTCACATGAATTTTCAAGATTCAAGAAGAAAAAAAAAACGCAAAACATATTTGCATAATATTGATTATAAAGGATGATGATGAAAATTTTCTTATATAAATGTAAACAGATATTTAAAAATATTTATACTTAAAAAAGAAAAAGAGAAATTGAAGCCATGCGCGGAAGAATGGAACAAAAATCGAAAAAGATCGTGAAAAACGATGGAAAAGACTTGAAAACAAAATTTTTACTGTTCCACAAGACTCTTAAGATTGAAAAGTGTAGAAAGAATGCAGATTTTCAGGTTTATTTTCTTCTGTTTCAGTCCATCAAGATCAAGAGCAACACGGAGAAAATCCGAAGAAATTTTTCTTTCATGTTTGTGGAGTGATATTTTCAACTTTTTAATACAAAAAAAAGCCTCATGAAAAATCTAAACTAACTAAAACAAAAAAAAACAAGCATAATAATAGAAAATGGGTGAATTGAGTTTGAAGACGATGAAGAAAAAAATGGATGGAGAGAAAATCAATTAAATTATAGTAATTAACATCTTAAGAATTAGTGTTTGGAATTATACTAAGAGTTTATATATAATTTGTACATAAATGATGAGTATAATGAATATTTTATTGTATTTCCTATCTTTTAAGAAAATTCTGAATGAGTTTTTTTTTGTGTCTCCCAGCAAATTCTTTTTGTGTTGTACATTTAATTTCTCTTTATTTTTTCTCTTTTAAAGTGGTTAGAATCTTTTTTTTTTTATTTCTCCCATCTTGCCAATGTGCATTGGCAAAGGGCGAGAAATCGCTGTAGTAAGTTATGTTTTATTTGTAAATTTTATTTCGGTGAGAATACAAATCATGTACATTTCTAATTTTAGTACTCTTTTCTGTTAATTTAAGAATAATGTAACTTTCTCTTATGTATAATTATCACAAATAATATAGTTTTTATTGAGAAATATTCGACTTTTGATTGTCTACTTTGGGAAAGAAGAATTTTATCTCTGTTCAATTGAAGGAAGGTTGAAACTTTTCTGTGCATTTTACGAAACATATTTCACTCAGATTTCACATGAAATTCTTGTGCGCGAAATTCGAAACTCAACCGGTAAATGGTTTGTGTCTCGACTTATTCAACACTCATAAGAATCAGTCGTTGCGCAAGAGTTTTTTTGCTTTTGTACTGAAAAATGTGCATTTCGCACTTCTTAATCGATATCAGTGAATGGTAGATAAATTCAGATAATTATTTCACGGTTTCTGGAGATTGAAAACTATATTTTCTGCAATTCTTCAAGTCGGAGATTTTCCCCTTACAATTATTCAGTTGATGCGAATTCTCATATCCTTGCTGACGAAGAATTTTCGCAAATCGCTTCTGAATGAAGACGGTTCTAGGCCTAGTTCTAGGCTGTCTGATGTCGTTAAAATCTTCTTGGCTTCTATAATTTAGCCGAAAGGAAGCTTTGAACTTTAGTTATTGTTTAAAAACCTTTCATTTTATTCTCTTTCATGGAGTGCAAAAATCATCTATTCAAATAAAACAGTTTAAAACTTACCGTGCTTTGTGCTATCTTACCATTTCCTTCTCTCTCATTGCCTTCGGCCGGCGCAGGATTTTCTGGCCGGCGTCTTTGGAGGCTCCTCGAACGAGTGAAAGTCGTGTGTTATTCAATGATTGTAATCCATACTTATTAAACATATCCCTGGCGTTCTTCTCAGTTAATACATTCGATCCGCCGGCGCCTCTGCGGAGCCGCGGCGGCTGGAGAGTAGCTGCGTGCTGGACAGGCCTAGTGCGTGCCGCTGCCGGTGGCGATGGGCCCGTAGGCCGCGTGCTTGGGCTTGGGCGTGTGGAACTCCTCGATGCAGAGCTTGCAGCTCCACGAGCCCTCGGGCGGCGCCGTGAGCGCCGGCGAGAGGCAGTACATGTGGTAGCCCCGGTCGCAGTCATCACAGAAGAGGAGCTGGTCGTCGTTGTCTGAGGTGCCGCAGATGGAGCAGTACTTGCACTCGATGCACTGCCACCGGTAGCGCTTCACCGAGATCATCATGTTGGCCGTGAACTGGAGGCACGTCGGGTGGCCGCTGCGGCCGCAGTCGCTGCAGGACACCAGCTCCTCCGGGGCGCCCGTCTTCTTGTTTTCGCGCGCGTCGCCCAGGCAGAAGTCGCAGTATGGCGACGGCGCCACCTTGCCCTTGTCTGCGAGGCCGCGTGGCGGCGGAGCGCGCTCCTCGGGCTCCATCGGGGCGCTCTCGTACATGGGCATCGGCGGCCGGCACTCGGGCAGCGGCGGAAAGCCCGTGGAGGGGCTGGCGCACTGCGGATCATCGTGCGGCAGCATAAAACGCGGCTTCTTGGCGCCGCCAGACGACGACGGCGACTCCATCGATACGTCGAGGCTTTTCTTCTGTCGTCCGCGGCCGCGCGCGCCGGGCTTCTTCACCAGCCCGTCTCCGGACACACCGCCGCTCGTCTTGCGCCGGTCGCCCGCCTTCCGGCGCTGCTTGGCGCGCCGAATGCTGTACGGCTCCTCGTAGTCGAAGTCCGAGTCTGGATCGTCAAAGCCGTCCATGTCGTGCAGATCCATGTCGTAGAACCACTCCTTGGGCACGTCCTCCTTCACGTTCTGGCTGTCTTTGCTGTCCGTGTCGCCGGCGCCCAGCGACGAGGCGCCGTCGTGCGCCTGCACGCCGTGGTGGAAGTCGCTCTCGAGCTCCGCGTCGCGCAGCATCCGGAACGGGCGCTGGATCAAGTACTGCCGCCGGGATTTGCGCCAGCGGGCGGCCGGGTACGAGTACAGCTGCCCCGACGCGAGGCCGGGCATCCGCTGTCTGCTCTTCATAAACAAAGCGCAATGGTTCTGGGCCACCCCAGTTTGCGGGTCCAGGAAGGGCATCCGCAGTCGCCTCTCGATGCACAGGCGCGTGTTGTAGTTCTCGCTGTTCTCCAGCACCTCCTTGTACGCCGAGTCATTGAGGAAGTTCTCTATTTTCGCTAAATTTTCACTATTTATCACTATTTGTACCTCCGACGCCATTATTCTCCAGCTTTTTGACGACTCTCTGAGACGTCCTCTCGCCACCCGCAGCGCCGCCAATTCACCACACGCGAACTTCTCCAGGGATGGCGAACAATTTCAGCGGTTGTGAAATTCGCGGGAATATTTTGGTGAATATATTGGAAACCGTTGATTGAAAAGCAAAGAAATTAATTTTTATTTCATTGATTATTCATATTCAACAAAATAATGTGTGCTTTAGTCTACCATTAAATGAAACTACCTTCTGTTGTTGAGCAAGTCAGAGTTTCTATTAATTTAAGATAAACTCTCTTGAAATCGCCGTAAGAATTTTCCTCTACATTTTTCATAAGACGATCATAAAGTTTCTTTGAATATTCTGCATAGATTTGAGGCAGATTTACATCCAAATACAACTGCTTAATAATGGCCTCATCTTCAGGATTATCATGTCCATAGTGGGCCTTCATAATCGCTCTCTGAGCCGGAGTTGCGTGTTCCATGCACGCCACGGCTAACCAGCGACATTTTCCCTCACGAATGTCCGTTCCCACTTTTCCGGTGATGTTGTGGTCGCCAAAACAGTCAACGTAGTCGTTCTGTATCATATAAAAATACCCCAAATCAGCGAGAATTGGGCGACCTTTTTCAAGACATTCTGAATCCGCATAACCAGCTAAAGTCGCTCCTAATGCAACTGGGAAGTAAACCATGGCGTATGAGCCGATATTCTTAGCAATTGCTTCGTATTTTTCTGTCGTGCAATCGCCAGAATTCAGTGAACAATTCACATCAACGTGCTGTCCAAGATAACCGACGAAAGATGTCTCATTGAACAACTCCAGGAGTCGCATGAAACAGTCGAGTTGGCCGAAATGCGTTCTCAAGAGAAAATAAACGCTAGTTTGAATTATGAAAGAATCGTTAATGGCGCCTATTTTAACGTCCTCCAGAAGATACCAGCACGTTTTGTTCCTTCTTGTCTTTCCGCCATCCATGATGTCATCGGCAACGTTGATGCCGTCGATAAACTAGGAGAAGCGTGTTCAATTCCACTGTTCTGCTCGCTAATTGGTCGCTTAAAGACTCACCATTTCCACGCACCATCCCAAGTAGTAGGCCAGCTTCAGATTCTCCGGTGTTTGAGAGGATTCAGGAGTTAACATCTTGTAGGTTTCAGCTACGATTATGCCAGAATATTTTCTCCCGCCAGAAACGCAGTAATTTAGTACCTGTTTAATAGTCGTTCTCTTTTATGTGTAGATACAGATTTGCTTCAGTTTCATACCCTTGTTAAGTGTTTCCCGCGGTCTATTTTATCTATTGTTGCAGCTTTTGCTTCGAGTTCTTGAACAATTCTCGGAAAATATGTCAAAAAAGCATCTCTTTTCGCTTTTGACAGCAACGTATCGTCAAAGGCTTCACTGAAAGCACAAAAAATGTTTTTGAAACATTACCCAAAATATTAAATAAACCCCACAGTTCAATCGGTTCAATCCAGTTGATTCAAAACGCACTTTCCTTTATCTCTTTTTGTAACATTTTGCAACAATATTGTGGATTTATCCCAGGATTTATCCTCGCACACCTTCTGAAATCTTTCACTGAAATTAAACAAATTTCTCCTACACAATCTTTGAGTGATTGTTATTAATTTATAGACAATCATTTCAACCCTTGTTTTGATCCACTGTATTTGTTCAAGTATTAGAAGGAACTGATTTATCTTAGGAGATTTGCGATCTTTTTATATTCGCCAGCAAATTGTTGTTGAGAACCGTGAGAACGTCGCTTAAGAGAAAACAAAATATTATTACTTTTCAATAAAATAGTATCAATCAAATGTAATTAAATGATTGTTTGAATTATCGTTAAATACGTTACACGTGCCTGTTCGTAAAAATAATGGTAAATTCGTGAAAACTTCGTTTATCGCTCAGAAATACAAAATGTTATCGGCATTTTTACCAATTGGTCGCCCTTTGAGGTGAAATTTTTTCTCTATGGTGAAGCAGAACCACTCAAATAATCTTTTTTAAGCTCAAATATAATTTTTTACAAGAAAATATAAGAATATTTGTCACGCTTAACTCTCAGAAACTAGTAAAAACTTCAAAAAAGACGCTGAAATTCATTGAATATATCTTCGAATATCAAATTTTCAAAAATGCAGGTAATTTCGCGCCAAAAATTTAACGCCCATCAGATAGGTTTTCCCTCTAAAATCCCAACAAGAAAAGACAATTCACAGTTGCAACAAATAATTTACTTCTTAAATTCATTAGAGTGATTTGCAGTGAGTGTGCATGCGTTGTGCATGTTGAACAAGTACTTAAACATCACATTTTGTCGATATTGTCAGCTTTATCGAGCGCATTTCGGCTAATTTTCCGCCTCTTCCGTCGCGCAATCTTTACGTCTCGTTGGAGCCACTCATTAAGCTGGGACTTCGCTCCGCGTCGCCTTTCTTCATGACCAGGAACAGTTCCTTGTCGTTACTCTGCAGTTGATTTCTCAAGTATTCCAGCAGCTTGGCGTCCTGAAACGGCGCAGAAAGTTAGAATGCAGCTTCCTGGGCGGATTCAGTGAACTCACGTCGCCTATCAACTGCGGAGAGCTGAGCTTCGAATCCAGATTCCACCAGTTCTTCCCGGAAATCTTCCGAACAGAGATCCAGTGTCGCCTCTTCACTGGCAGCGTCACGAATCCCAGTTTGTAATCTGTGGGCACGTTGAGGATGAACCCAATGATGTCGTGAGACTTTATACACGACGGATCTCTGGAAAATCATGACGATAAAACACAGTTTCCTCAACTTTAGCATGGAAAAGTGATGTTTTCACTCACTTCCTCTTGTCGAACCACACAGTTTCGCATCCCTTCGTCTCCAGAGCCGTCATAATCACGTTTATGTCGTAATTTCCGAGGCCCAGAACTGACCTGGAAGACAGATAACAGAAGAATTCAACTGGATTCAACAGGAATGTCCGGGAAACATGAGGACAAAAACTCACCTGTGCGGATTTATCCACTCATTTGGTGACAGTCTCTTGCATATCTCATCCAATTGACTTTTTGTGAAGGAGCCTTTGGCTGGAACGGAAGCGAAATGATAATTTTATGTAAAATTTATTCAAATTTCGATGGTGAACCTTGGAAAAGATTGTTTAGTGCGTGCAAAGCGCACAATTCCCGGATTTGTCTCTCATGATAAATGCTCACGCTGTCCATGCCGGGCTGACCCATCCACCTGCCGTCCCAATGTGCAGTCCTAATGCAAATTTCACTGATTTTCAGTGTTTCCCAGGCAGAAAATCACAAGTTTCTCAGGTGGCACAACAAAAACACGTCTTTTTTCTCTCCCACAAAACACACGCTGTCAAAGTTGCCGCAAAATTCCGCCACGTGGCGCAAGGTAGCACAGAAATTGCCACGAGTGTCGCTGCAGGCGGAGAATGGTGAACCCCTCCACCCCCATTTCCAAAGTGATGTTTCGCGAGTTCGGAAGGTGTTTTTGCTGATGTTGAGAAAATCGTCCACAACCACTTGATTCCATATCATTTTCACGGTGATTTGCCAACAGGCGGAGAGGCAGTGTGTGTGACATTGGCGAGAAAGTACAAATTGGGCGGAAAAGTGGTGTTTGCCAGTGTTTTTTTCCTCAAGTAAGTCTGGGGGTGACATTCTCCGCAGTCGTCGCGAGATTTGGCATATTTAAAAATAAACTCAAACGCTGATCACAGCGAAAAAGTCACGTCATTGGAGTCAGCACTACGTGGATGGTCTCGCCAGCTGTTTTCGGGCTCCAACTCACTTTCCCCCACCGCGATATCGCGTTAGACTCTCACTTTCGAACCGCGGATTTCGCCAGTGTTTCGTCACGCAAGACAAAAGAACCTGTTTAGGTTCCTGACTCGTCAGGCTCTTCCGGGGCTCGGTGGGAGCCCGAGGGGTCGGGTGAGCTCGGATCCGTGGCTTGACTGGATATTCTTGGCCGTAAAATTGTCTTGACGCAACGCCAAGGAATCATTTCAGAAGATGTTGCAATCGATATTCAAGTCCTGCGAAAGAAGATTAAGCCAAGGTTTTGGGGAGATTTAGGCGATAAACAGCTTACAAATCATCTTAAAAATAACCTTTGCTTTTGCTCTATAAAAGGCCAAAGAATACAGGTAGATAAACTCAAGTGTTGACTTATCTTATAGGAAGTGTGATTCTTAAAAGAACCCACTTTGATTCCTCGACAAATTTAGTTATTCTTCGCTTTAATGACCTACAAATTATAAAGAAATAAGAAATCCCTTCTAGTAACAAATAAAGAGAGACAGATTTTAATTGAGGCTTTTTAATTATATCGGTATATGAACATCCAGAAGATTTACTTAGAAATGGGCGGAGAATTCCAATGGGCGTGGCGTATCACTTCAGGAATCTTTGCAAATAAAATCTAGCAGATTGAATATTAACTTCTTATTTAATAGGTCAAAAACGTATGAATAATATCATAATTTCTACCTTTCTTTTTTTATGAAATGCATTGAAAACTGGTACAAAAAAATCTGAAACCAACTTAGAAGACAACTTTAGAGCACTTCTTACCTACAACTAACATTATTTTACGCTCTCCTCAGCCCAATATCAAAATTTGCGGACATTGCTTTCACTATTTGTGTACAAAAGTGCTGGAACGATGGAATAAATCCAGCTTTAATCCGACCATAAAAGAAAAGTGATTCACCTTTCGAGATAAAGAAAGTCATTTTAGAGTATATCTTTTGTAACATTGCTGCGTTTGTCCTCTTGCAGGCATCGACTAGCTCTTGATTTGTCCAGACGAGCAGAAGTGATGCAGAAAAGCGATCAACTAGTCGCAATTAAAGACTACAAATTACATTTTCGACAAGAGAAGCAACAGTAAGAGAGAGAGAGATGGCGAGTTGTATAGAGCAGGTGAGCATAGAGAGCGTCGCCACGGATTACTCCAGTATTCGTGGGAAGGGCGTGCTCGTGAGTCCAACGGAGGAGCAGTTCGAGCTGCTGAAGAAGCGCCTGCTGGAGCGGATTGAGGACAGCCGCGGCGAGACGATCTACGAGATTGGCATCGGCGAGGATGGTGGCGATTGCGGACTGGAGCCCGAGGAGTTCGCCGCCAGTCTGGCCACGCTGCAGAGCCTGGCCACGACGCTGGACGCGGACTGCGTGGAGCTGCGGCAGCGCAAGGTGGACAAGGGCCTGATCACTGGACAGTACCTGGTGAGGAAGCACGTCGACACGGCGGACTTCATGGAGATCCGCGTGGCGGTGGTGGGGAACGTGGATGCGGGCAAGAGCACGCTCCTGGGCGTACTCACGCACGGTGACCTGGACAACGGGCGCGGCCACGCGCGCCAGAGGCTCTTCCGCCACAAGCACGAGATGGAGAGCGGCCGCACGAGCTCAGTGGGCAACGACATCTTGGGTGAGTCTCTTGCCATTCGCCTTCTCCCTTCACTCTCTAACTTCCTCTCTGCTTCAGGATTCGACAGCCTGGGGAATGTGGTCAACAAGCCCGATCACGGGACGCTGGACTGGGTGAAGATCTGCGAGAAGTCCGCCAAGGTGATCACTTTCATCGATCTCGCGGGCCACGAGAGGTACTTGAAGACGACGGTGTTCGGCATGACGGGTCACGCTCCTGACTTTGGCATGCTAATGGTGAGTTCTTGCCACTCGTTCAAGGCCGCATGAAATTTGCGACATTTGCTATTCATAAATTCCGCGTGTTTTCGGTGTGTGCGAAAATGAAAATACAGCAGCGGTTCAGTAAACCGCGCGACACAAATATTTACAGTTTCTCGCGATCGATAAGATTTGATAGTGATTAGATATGGAGATTTTGTTGCCAACTCGTCACGTGTTGATTTGCAGTGTGTGCAAATTTGTTATCAATATTGCTTAGTTTATCAGAGGCACAGAGAGAGAGAGAGAGAAGATGATCCGCATTTATAAGCAGCTTGTTGTTTATTTTGTAAAGTTATGTAATTGCGAATTTGATACTCTTCACGGCAATTTAGCAGTTTTTTGTATCATCGCGAAAATAATTGCGAAAAGTGGTGCAAATTTGTTGTGTTTTCAAAACTGTTAATTGAACCATTTTATGGAAATTACACTGGTTGATATGGAATTTACCAGTTATTGTGCGAAAGTGCTGTGAAATAACGGAATGTATTTTGATATTCTAATCACAATTAAATAAGAAAAGCAAGAACACTTGAGAATTGCGCTGTAAATGCCCGAAATGGCGGTCTAACTGAATTCTTCTGCATTTTCTTGTCTTGTTCGCAGATTGGGGCCAATGCGGGAATTGTGGGGATGACGAAGGAGCATCTGGGTCTGGCCTTGGCGCTATCCGTGCCGGTGTTTGTGGTTGTGACGAAGATCGACATGTGCCCACCGAAAGTCCTGCAGGAGAACCTGAAGCTCCTGTACAAGATTCTCAAGTCGCAGGGCTGCCGCAAGGTGCCTGTGATGGTGAAGACGCCGGACGAAGTTGTCCTGAGTGCGACGAATTTCGTCTCGGAGCGCCTCTGCCCGATCTTTCAGGTGTCCAATGTGACCGGTGAGAATCTGGACTTGCTGAAGATGTTCCTCAATCTGCTGACCACTCGAATGCCGGGCCATGACAATCTGCCGGCGGAATTCCTCATTGACGACACATACTCCGTGCCTGGTGTGGGTACTGTCGTCTCGGGCACGTGTCTGCAGGGCCTGATCAAGCTCAACGACACGCTGCTGCTCGGACCTGATCCTCTGGGGCAGTTTCAGGCGATCGCCGTCAAGAGTATTCACAGGAAAAGGATGTGAGTGTGATCAATTCACTTCCTCGTGGGTCTTTGGGTGAATGCCTTTTGTGTGTCTCTTTTCAGGGCTGTTCGGGAAGTGCGAGGCGGTCAGACGGCGAGCTTCGCCCTGAAGAAGATCAAGAGATCTCAGATACGCAAAGGCATGGTGATGGTGTCGCCGGAACTCAATCCCAAGGCTTGCTGGGAGTTCGAGGGTGAGATTCTTGTGCTGCACCATCCGACCACGATATCGTCGCGCTACCAGGCAATGGTGCATTGCGGCAGCGTGCGGCAGACGGCCTCGATTCTGTCCATGTCGAAGGATTGCCTCAGGACGGGCGACAAGGCGCACGTGCGCTTCCGCTTCATCAAGCATCCGGAGTACATTCGTCCGGGGCAGCGACTGGTGTTCCGCGAGGGGCGCACCAAGGCGGTGGGGAATGTGCTGCAGCCGCTGACGAATGCCGCTCCGCTGCAGAATCGCCAGAAGCCCAACAAGATGCAGGCGCGAGGGCAGCAGAATCAGAACCCGAACATTCAGGTGAAGAGATTTCTGCGTTGTGAAGCGACGATTTGCTAATGCTTTCTCTCTTTAGTTGCAGCCTCCTGTGGGCGGCGGCGGGGATCTGAAGGTGGCGGCGACGATGGAGGGCGTCCTGGAGATGAGCTGTGACAAGCGCGACAACGCGCAGCGCGGCAAACGCGCGAAGAGGACACTGCCAGGAGCCGCTCCTGTCGGCAGTGTTCAAGTCACTGCGACTGCCGTTCCATCGAACTAGACAATTTGATTCAGGACTCTTGTAACTTCCTTTTACATCTTGATTTATTTTAAACTCCTTAACTTTATAGGACGGAATGTTCCTGTAATTTATATATATCTTTACGTTGATTTTTCCTCTTTCGTCTTCAACGAAACAAAGCTGTTCAAGCGATAGAATTTTTCTTCAATCAATGACAAAAGAAAAAAGATAAAAGTTCAATTTTCTACACCTTTGAAATTTTTGTTGAGTACAAAGAATGGCTACAAATTTATTATTTTTGATTTTCATCCCCACCCTCAATGTTTCCCTTGTAAATCAAATTTACCCTAAATGTGAAATTTCCTCAAAGGCACGAAGTGTGGGTGAAGTAGGAGACAGAGAAATATTTTCTGATACGAAGAGAAAAAAGTGGAATTTGTAATGGAAATGTGTGAAATTTCTAAATAAAAATTTATTTTGTAACATCCAGTTGACTTCACTTGCGCTTCAGCTCGCGCTTCGCGCTCTCGAGTTCCTCGCGGAAGTTGCTGTTGAAGTTCCGGATGAAGGCGCGGAATCTCTCGGGCGTCCAGCGGTGCTCCTCGGCGATCATCTTCGAGCGCTGAAACGCGTACAGCGTGAGCTGCGCCGCCCGGCGGATGGCGTAGCTCTCGGAGAGGCGCTGGATCAGCTGCTCATTGTTGGCCAGGTAGCGCATCAGCAGCCGCAGAACCATTTCGGGTGCCTAGAACTGGATGTTCTTGTACTTGTTCAGCAGATTCTGCTTCAGCAGCAATTGATTGCGCAGCGTCTCGAGCCGCTGCAGCTGTTCTTCCTTGTTCAGATCGATGGGAAGCTGCCTGATCTGGCTGCGCACGCTGTCGAGCTTCTTCTGGAGTTCCAGCACCTGTTCAGAAGCAGAAAGGAGACGTTTAAAGATCCCAAATAATTAGTTTTCTTTTGCTTAAGGGATAAAAACTTGTATAAACAGCAGTCATCGTGAAAGGGTTAAATATACCACATGTCATCTGCAAACTTGGCAGACTTTGTTCAATATATTTCTATTGTTTACCCTTTACTCACGAAATTCTTCCTGGCCTTCGTGTCTATCTCTAAGTGACTCGAAAGCACCAGGAAGAACTTCTAGACACAATTTCTAGAAACACAAATGATATTTTTTGTTCCAGCTAAAAACCTCTTTGTTCTCAGCAATTTTTCACCTGTGTTTTCACTTACTTTCAAACTGCAATCTTGAGATTCCCTCTGTTTGTCCACCGGATCTTTCTCCACACTGCAAGTAATGAGAGGAGAATGTATTTTTTTGGCAAATTTTCACTGAAAATCTACGACGAATTCTCTCGACTTTTCACAACATTACATAATGGACTTTATTTTGATCGCTCACCTGCGAATTATGGCGTAGATTGTCGGCAAAATTTCAATCTCAATCTCATCAACAGTCAGCGCAGTGCCGTTTTTCGCCTCCTTCTTATCGCCACCCACCGAATCCATGTCAATTGTGCATTTTTATCTCGCCAAATTCGGGAATGTTTTGCTGCTCTCCGCGTGTTTTGACAGCCGGATGGTTGCTGGTCTTTTCCGCCACGCGGCTCTGGTGGCGCAGAAGAGGCGCGCGCGGAGCAAAAAACCTGTCGGCGACGCGGTGTTTGCCGTGGAAACGAGTTTCAGTTTGTTTGAGTTGCTGTTGGTGAGAAGAAGTGTTGCGCTTCTTGGCCATAGAAATAAGGCAAATTCACTGGATTCTGGTGGTTTTTCGGTGACAAAGAGTGGACTAGGAGTTTGCTAATTGACTCCTCGATCAGCCTCTGGAGGATACAGTGCGATTTTCTTGGGTTAGCAGGTGAAATCAAGGCGCGAAAGTGTCCGCGGTGTGTCAGGACAGGTGTTGCTGTGTGTGTGTGTTTGTGTTGAGGAAAAGAGCTGTGCAAGAAGGCAACAAGAGCAGTAAAATTAATAGCGCCAGAGTGAATTAAAACTCACCAACACAGAGCTTGGGATATTCGACTTTCTTCTCCATCGACTTCAACACGAGAAGAGACAGCAAGATCGTCTCAGGCGAGTCATTGCACTGACTTGGTCAGGATTAGCGTCTTCGAAGCCACTTCACGATCTTCCAGCCAATGTGAGTGTGTGAGAATTATTGCTTCATTTCAGGTTTTTTTTATGCGAAAAAGACGGCTTTTTCGGGATTCTGTCTAGAATTTCTTTGTATTCTCGGAATTTGTGTGCGTCTGAAAGAATTAATTATGATTAACATTGCCACCCAAAAAAGGGTAGTGAAGAATAGACAAATGATTGTGATTTTACACCAGCGAGAGAAGGAATAAAACATTCCAAACTGTGCACGGTTTTTCTACCATCAGAACCACGAATCATAAAAAATTCAATTCGTCGATTGATTGATTGATTTTCTTAAAAAAAAAATCAATCTTTTGCTTTGACTTTTTCAGCATTTTGTCACAAGCTCCAGAAAACCTCTAAAACTCTCTAAGATTAAAAAGAAACAGTGATTGAGAACGATTTAAAAAATATTAAACTTTTATCCTAGAAATCCCTTCTAATTTAAATGCTCACTTGGCCTGGAATATTTGCTTATTGAGAACCAATTATACTTCATAAGCTTCTTTATTACGAAGCTCAATAAAAAAGTTTCCGTTCTTACAATCCAAATGAATGCTATAAATCAAAAGGTATTTTGTAAATTATCAGTGATTGAACGCTCGTCATTTATAATCATTAATCAGTGATCAGAGAGAAATTTCACCCATTCAAAGGGGAATTTAATTTATTCGCCAACTATATATATAATAATATTGCAAATATCCAGTGATTAAATTGATAAAAAGAGCTCGCTGAATTCAAAGGAAAAATTAAATTTATATCATTTCAGAGCATTTCCTGAGCCATTCGAAAACTTTCCTTTCGTGCTGAAAACTCTTTTGACTCCATCAGCTGAAATTGCAGTTAAAAGGCGACCAATTTTTCTCTATCACGCTGTCATTGATCCTTTTTCTGCCTTTTGTCCTCTGACTGAGTGAAAAATTAAACTTTTACACTGTCATTAATCACGTGGCAAGTGTGTTTTCGCTGGCTTAATGTGCTGCAATTAAAGGAATTCAATGGGAAAGTCGTCTTTCTTGCCATTCACACTGTCGTCTGATTACATTCGGCGATACATTGTCTTCTTAGGGCCAATTTCGCGCATTCCTGAGCGATGTTTTGACTGTGTTCGGGGAAAGTGGAGGAGCTGAATTTATTGGTGTATTCGTAATTAGTGGAAATTCACGTGAAATATGCTTCATTCGGGAAAACCGTTGAATTGCACGCCAGCGGGCGGTGGAAAATGTGTGTGTTTGTGAATAAAACATTGTGCAGGAGGAAGCCTATGTAGGTGGAATGTACATAGCGAGGGAAGGGGCTGATGAATCATCCAGAGGGAGAGGGCACAGCACCCAGGCTAAGGGAAAAATATCGATTTTCGACCCTTATTTTGTGTGTTAGCGCACCCCGCCAGTGCAGCGACGAATTTCACGAGAGAGAGAGAAAGACTCTCTTTCTTGGGGGAGAGACAGTGGGTGAAAGATGCCCGGCTTCACACATTTATGGCCGCCCAGCATCTCGAGAAAGGGGAGCTCTTTGGGGACGCCGAAGCTTCGCTGGCGATGATTCCGGGAAATGTGTCTGATGCGACGTGTGAGCTGAAGAAAGGGTCGTGAAACGGGGCAATCAACCACCATTCCACGTCGAAAGTTTTGGCGGTGGAACGAATTTTACGGCTCTTTTCGCGCCGGTGCTGAAAAACGCTTCTTCATCGTCTCCAGACCAATTAGTTGGCGGAAGGGCAAAGAAGTCACCACGCAGAGGGGCTGCATTTTCATGCAAATCTTTCAGTTTAGGGGTTTCAAGCACAGAAAACACGCAGAATATAAAATAACTGGGAAAATTTAATATCTTTATTCTTCTATTTTAAGACAAATATCAATGTTTTCTTAAGTGAAATTTGGTTGAACACAGAAATCAATTTCTTTCGTTTTATGTGCAATAAATTCACATGTTTTCAAGCAAACACAGAAAAATCCTTTCTTCAGTTATTCTGTGATGATAAAGGGAATATCACAGAATATTGCTGATTAAGAAGAGAATCTGCTTTGCATTCTGCTTTAAAATATATTGAATTTTTCCTCACAACTGTGCTGAAAAATTATTCTCATTCTGTTTGTGGTAATTGCAACAGAAGGTCGTGCTTTGCTAATGCAATTTTAAGTTTATTCCCCGCAATTGTCGAATGTTTCAATGAATGTTCTCTCAAATCAGGAGATTCATTGTTGTGCCCACCCATTTGCAACCCTCCCTGAACATGGGGAAATCGAATTACAGCAATCAGCAGTATTCTTTTACATCGCCCAACGATGACAACAATCCTCAGTCTTCGTGCTGTGAATGAATAAAAGCCCAACGAGACAAGAGGGTGACGAAAGGAAGGCAAAGTTTAGAGAAATTATCATGTTCTTTGACGACGAATTTATTGGTTGAAAAACACAGAAAAGTCTCATTGAGCACGAGACTCGTAAAAGTGAGTTCTTTTCGTCGCGATAAAATGCTTAACATGCGAATCCTCTTTGTCATGCGGGAACAGAAAAGCTCCTCAATGAGACAAAAGATGTCGATTGAGGGAGAGAAATTCTTCAAATAATACCTTCGTGCATGATTGAGTGCGGAAAAATGCAAGAATGTTCTTCAGCTTTCCCATCCCCCATTTATCAGTGGATTTTCCGTGCTTCGAGATGCGATTGGAGAAGAGAACAGTCACTCATCCGCAAGTGCAATTGCTTCTCGTCTGCTCAAGTGGCCCGTGGGGTGTTTGTCAATGTTGAAGACACTCGAAATTAATTAGTTTTTCATCCTTCCCCCCTTGATTCAGTGTCTCATTTACATGCCGTTGTGTCTGTGATTGCTATAAAAGTGCGCACATGGAATTTATGTTTAGCAATTGTCGATGTTGAAGACATCATGAGAATCAAGTGGAGAAACTTCTTTGCCAGAAGGAAGTTGTGGAAATCCAGACAAACTGCTTCGCATTGAACCGGGATCTCAACGGTATTGTAATCTTTCATCTTTTTGTGGATGTCTCTTTCTCTGTTCGTCGTCGTATCCCAGATGACAAAGAGAATATCAGAGCATTGAATAAAATGGGAATTTACATCCTCCATTTGGAGATATAATTTATCTGAGTGTGTGTGCACAAAAGGAAACTTTGCAAATTTGCATAAATTGACCGAAATTGAATTTGTGTGGAATCTCATTATGTTAGAATGTGAAGTGCTGCTGCACAGGAGGTTTTTGGAAAGTTCTTATAGTTTATTCCCCAATTGCTTTTATATCGTGATTTAAGATAGATCATTTTGTCATTCGTTCAAAGATTTTTCTTGGCAATATAAATCCACTTTGTAACACAAACGATCCATTGTAAATCATGCGGTGTTCTCTATTGTAAAATCACTGTTTGCCATCCTTTTGTAACCCCTCGTCTGACACTTAAAATTCAATGTTGGGGGATGAATTCATGACAAGCGCAAGTATCAATATTTGAGTTCCAATATCACCACAATTTATGTACAACACGAGCTTTGTATCAATGAATATTTGCGGGGCAGAAAAGTTGACTGGTAATTATTTGGTAAAGTGGCACGTTTCATTGCTCTGAAATCGGTGAAAATGGAGAAAATGCGGGAGAGTGAGAGATGGATTTGTAAGGTTTAATAAATTCCCGTCTGAATTGTGGATATTTACTGTCGGGATGAAGTGAAGGGACTGATCTGGGATTGGGGGAGGCAGTAAATTTGTCTTGTTCATATAATAGAGACAGGAATTTGCCATTATTGCTCTATCACATCATAATTATTTATTCAGGCAACACAATCATCCTAATCAGGCGTAAATTTGTCTGTGGAACATTTTCACAGCGGGAGGGTGGAAAAGTTGAAGGAAAAGTTTGTCGTTTTTTCCGCTGTCTGGAAATGTGTGGTTTTGTTGAGTCCTTTATAAATAAAATACACATAATTTCGATTATTTGCCATTAATCTGTCTCAAATGTCGCTGGTGGATCTCAATCATTCCACCCTCTCTCTCTCGCAGGAAATCATCCCTCCCGATGCGCGTCTCGCGTGTGAGTCACACTGCCAGTCGAAATTGTGTGGCTCGGGCGCTGTTTGAGGGGTTTGCGCTGGGAGGATTGTAGGTGGGACGGCGTTGCCACCCTTGAAAGTATCTAGTTCTATGTACATAATATCATTACATCGAACACATTATACGCAATCTCTCTCCCTCTTTCGTCTGTGGCGCGGGGTGAACAGCGTTTCGACTCCGATGCCATTTGGCCTGTCGAGGAGATGATGCCGTACAACATAATATTGCACAAGGGTATAAACACATTGAGGGTTGGAAATGGCATTTGAAGTTTCCACTCATACATGCACACAAGGTGGTGCCGAAGGTAACCTGACATGGCGTACAGAGCTGGGGTCACGAGACACGGCCGTTTTGACTGACCCTAATTGATTAAAG